TCCTCTCAATGACTACATGTAATCATTTTGGGTATAACTTAGCAAGTAACAGAGGCAGTCTTTATTTGAGCTCATTTTCTTTTTTCCTATTGTTGTAGAGACAAACGAGGCAAGACACCGAAGACAGCAGGAAACAGTTTTATTTGGCTGCAGCCAGGTTCAGAGGGTACAGCCTTTGCTGTAATCAATCAATCCCCTGAACCCTGAGTTCAGGGAGTTTCAGAGTTTTATGCCCAGTGTTTAAGGGGGGAGTTCACAGCTCAGAAGTTCACAGTCTGCAGAAGTTCACATAAAAGCAGCTTTTTCTTTCACTGTTCTGGGCAAGTTAACTCTTGAGAAGGGGAGAGCTTCTTCTCCCCTTTCTATCCTCCCCCTGCCAGCTGTTACCATGAAGCCCAATTGTAACTTAAAAATGTAGACATTTCTGTGAAGCCCAGCTCAAGGCGAGAGGCCTTGTTCACACATTTCTTCAAAGTACTATACTGGATACATTTGTGAAAATAGTAAGGGGATGTCCAGCACTTGGAGTGCTGGTATCTTCTCAGCCAGTGGCCAAGTAAACAGGGTGACATGAAAATAGGAAGTTTATCTTCGTTGGACTCTTTTGCAGAGACTTTTGCTAACAGTCCCCAAATCAGCCATGATGAAGAGGGCTTTTCTGTGGAGAAAGGGAGTGCCCACTTCACTATTAACAAAAATTTATTATCTCACAGTTCTGAAAGCTAGAAATCAGAGATCAAAGTGTCAGCAAGATTTGTTCCTTTACAGGGCTGTGAAGAAGAATCTGATCCACATCTCTTCCCTAGGTTCTGGTAATTTGCTGGCAATATATAACATTCCTTGGCTTAGAAAATTCTCATTACTTACAATTTTGCTTCAATTCTATTTCTGGAAAATTTATTAATGTTTTTAAATTGAAAAACTTCAGGGGCTGGGATTGTAGCTCAGTGGTAGATCACTTACCTAGTACATGTGAGGCACTGGGTTCGATCCTCAGCACCATATAAAAATAAATAAAGATATTGTGTCCATCTACAAATTAAAAAAAGAAATTTAAATGCAGTACTGAGGGTTGAACCCAGGGGTGCTCTACTTATAAGCTACATACCCAGCCTTTTTATTTTGAGATCTGGTATAGTTAAGTTTCTGAGGATGGCCTTGGACTTGGGATTCTTCTGCCTCAGTCTCCCAAGTAGATGTGGTTACAGGCATGCACCACATGCCTGGATTATTTCTGGAAAATTCAACATTTGGGATGAGATATAAAGCTTTTTGTTTAAAGTTCTTAACTTTTGGAATCTCAATATTTGGAATATTGGAAAACTTGTAACAAAAAAGAACCAGAACAATTGTATCATTTATTATTTACCTGAATTACTGAAGTTTTTTAAGAACCTTGTGTCAAAATGCCATGGTAATAAAGTGTCAGAAAATACAAGGCACAAGACTATCTTTGTGTCTGAGAGCATACCAGACCTAGGATACAAAGCCATGAACTGCTTTTAGATCTTTCAGTTCTATGATAAAGGAGGAACATGTGAATCTAATGCACACTGAAGTAGCTAGTCACTGTTGCAAATTACTATGTATTATGCATCATGATAGTTTCCAAAATACAGAGCTATATGGTGTTCTTTTCTAGTTTTCTCTTTCTATCCCCGGTGAAATTGACATCACTAGGCACTTGATTTATTTTGAAAGGTGTTATACAATAATATAATCTACATGTAATATATTGTATATATACAGTTTACAAGTTACAATAATAAAACCAAAGCCACATATACATGACTCAGTTTAAGAAACAAAATGTTACCAGTATCTTGGAAGCTTCTAATGTGACCCTCCCTTCTGGCACTCTCTCACCAAAGACATAATTGCTTTCCTGAATTTTATATTAACAATTTTCTTGCTTTTCTTATTAAATATGCATGTACATATCCCTACAATGTTTGTCTTACCTATTTTTAAATTTTATATAAATGGAGTCAAGTACAGCTTCTGTGACTTCTTTCACTCAACACTTTTTTGCTGTGCTGGAAATCATTGAACAGTCTTTTTTTTTTATTGTTGGTCATTCAAAACATTACATAGTTCTTAATACATCATATTTCACAGTTTGATTCAAGCGGGTTATGAACTCCCAACTTTACCCTGTATACAGATTGCTGTATCACATCAGTTACCCTTCCATTGATTTGAACAGTCTTATCCATATAATTCATTCATTTTTACTGTTGCATAATGTTCAGTTGTTGGAATAAACCATTGGGTATCAACTCTTCTACTTATGAATGCTTTAGTTGTTTCTTTTTGACACAAGAATATTGTTGTGTGAAAGTTCTTGTATATGTCTTTTGGAGTACATGTACATGTGTTTCTCTAAGTATATAGCTAGAAGTGGAATCATTGATATTGTGCATGTTCAACTTTGCTCAGCGATTTTTTTCCTTAATCCAGGGTCTTGCTATGTTGCCCAGGCTGACTTTGAACTCCTGGGATCAAGTAATTCTCCCCCCTCAGCCTCCCAAACAGCCAGGACTACAGGCATGCACCACTACTCCCAACTACTAGGCAATTCTTAAATGTTTTGATGTGGTTAATGACTGATAAAAAATTTTATGGCTTTGAAAGCATGGATAAGCTTCAGATGAAGGGAAAAGAATAAATAGGTAATTTGGAGGGAAAGAAAACAATAATCAAAATTAAAGACAATAATGCCTACATGTGCAAGGCAAGTGCTCTTAGCAGAATGCCTTTGTTGATGATTCCTCTTACTGCAGTAAACTTACTCGTCTAAAACATGGTCAACTTCCTTAGGTTGCTCTGTTTCCATTGTGGGTTTTCAATAATCCCATGTTCTAGAAAATCCCAAGTGTCAGCAGGATTGGTCCCAAGAACAAGTGATTCAAAGCCAAAGAGGCTCTGAAAAAAACTAACTCAGACAAGTCTAGGTTTTCCATTAAGAAATATAACCATTCAGGGCAGGGAGGTAGCTCAGTGGTAAAGTATGCCTAGCATGTGAGATCCTGAGTTCAATAGTACAGTAAAAGCAAAATAAAGATCCTATAGACTTACTAGGAAACCCATGGCTGTAATGCAGTGCTTGAATCAAAGTTAACCTAAAAAATGCAGTTGACTGACCAACTGTTTTAGTCACAACAGTCAATTAATTACCTCTGCCTTTTATACTTCAAATAAATTGGTAGAATCTTTTGGAAGGCAGTTTGCTGTTATCTGTCAATATTTAAAGCTTGGATCCCAAAATTACATGCAAAAAAAATGTTTTGCTGAAATACACTAGTATGAAAGGATAAAGATTAGAATGCTCACGGCAGTTTGAGAGTAATCAAATACTGCAAACACCTAAAATTCCACCAACAGAGGAGGGAAGAATTAAATTATGGCACATCTCACAATGAAACACAATACAATTATTTTTTAAAAGTCCTAAACAGGAGGATCACAAATTCAATGCCAGCTGCAGCAACTTAGTGACACCCTGACTTAAAATTTAAAAAAAAAATAAAAGTAAGGGCTGGGGCTGAGGCTGAGTGATAGTGCTTTTGCCTGGCATGTGTGAGAGGCACTGGATTCGATTCTCAGCACCGAATATAAATAAATACAATAAAGCTCTATCAACAACTAAAAAAAATTTGAAAAAAAATAAAAATGAAAATAGAAAGGACCAGGGATGTGGCTCCATGTTAAGTGCCCCTGAGGAGGAGGAGGAGGAGGAAGAGGAGCAAGAGGAGGAGGAAGAGGAGAAGAGGAGGAAGAGCAAGAAGAGCAAGAGGAGCAAGAGGAGGAGGAGAAAGAAGGGGAAGAGGA